GAGGATGAGGAGAAGGATGAGGAGGATGAGGAGGAGGACGATAAATATCGATGACCCATGGTCGAGGATGGAGAGGGGAGGGATCGATCGATGATCGATGATGAGGAGGAGGAGGCGGAGGAGGAGGAGCAGAGCCAGGAGGAGGAGGGCATGGCCAGGAGGAGGAGGAGGAGGAGGAGGAGGAGGAGGGGAGGAGGGGAGGAGGAGGAGGAGGAGGAGGAGGAGAGGAGGAGGAGAGGAGGGGAGGGAGGGAGGGAGGGGGGGGAGGGGAGGGGGGGGGAGGGGAGGGGAGGGGGGGGGGGGGGGAGGGGGGGGGGGGGGGGAGGGGGGGGTTGGGAAGGGGGGAGGGGGGGGGGCAGGGGAGGGGAGGGGAGGGGAGGGGAAGCACCTTGGTCAGCGAGCAGCTGGTACCGCCCAAGCGTTCAGGAGGTCATGCAGTTGGCAGGCGTATTCTTAGTCCATGGACCTATGTGCCGCTGGAACATGCAGGCGATCGACTCCAACGGAAAGTTGGGCTTCGTTCGGAAGGAGACCGGGTGGCTCACTAACAGCGAGCTGCTCGCCGAGATCCTCAGATGCTACTGCCGGTGCCCCAGGGGTCCGAACGGAGAACTCGCTCGCCGTGTTCATTTGTTTGACGGACGCGCCAAACATGCACAACGATACCCTCCGAGCTTGGTGGCAGCTATTCTCAAAGGCCTACAAGAGGAGCTTCGACGACGTGAAGGGCTTAACCTACTTGCAGCTCTTTGTGGAGGACCACATCCACATGAAGAAGATACTGAGGTGTTCGCTGAGTACCCGGACGACTACTTCATCGACGATCTCACGGGCGAGATTCTGGACTCCGAGGGCGTGCGAGCCGCGAGGCAAGGAGAATTGGATTGGTGCCGCGGGAGGCAGGTATGGAAGAAGGTACCTAGACGCGAGATGCTCGAGAACGGCAAGAAGGCAGTGACCCTGAAGTGGATCGACACGAACAAGGGCGACCGAACTCGACCACGGTATCGGTCGAGGCTGGTCGCGAGGGAGATTAAGAAAGCTATGAGGTCCGAAGATCGTCCAGATCAAGCTGAACTATTCTCGACCATGCCCCCGTTGGAAGCGTTCAAGCCGATGGTGACCATCTTCGTCGGCCGCGTGAACGACGCCTACCACGACGGCGACACAGAGGATATAATTTACAAGTTTTACGACATCTCGAGGGCGCACTTCTATTGAGATGTGAATCGCGAGGTGTATGTGGAGTTACCCGAGGAGGATACCTACGACGATCCGGAGCCCATGGTGGGCAGGCTGTTCAAGACAATGTATGGCACAGTGGATGCAAGTCATGTGTGGCAAGACGACTACATCGGCCTGACAAGCTCGCACGGCTTCAAGAAGGGCGTCTCGAACCCAGCGCTGCTGTACCACGCCGAGCGTCATATACAAGTGGAGGTCCACGGCGACGATTTTGGTGTGATTATGCGCAAGTCCCAGGAGGGGTGGTTCGATGACGTGCTTTCGCGCTACGACTTTAAGGTCGCGGGTATTCTGAGCAGCAGGCCCCTGCAGGAACAGAGCGTGGTCTATCTCAAATGGGTGTTGATCTGGAACCCCTTCGAGCGCTCGGCCTACCTCGAAGCGGACACCCGGCACGTGAAGAAGGTGATCAGGAACCTGGGCTTGGAGAGCGCGAAGTAGGTGACTCTCCCCGGCTGTCAAGAGGTCTGTCGCGAAGATCCTGAGTAGCAACCAGGCCTCGCCGAAACTGGACGACGAGAAGGTGAATACCTACCGCAATGTGACCATGCGGATCATGTACCTGAGTCTGGACCGGCCCGACATCAGCTACAGCGCGAGCATGCAGGCTAGACACATGAAGGAGCCGAAGGAGACCCACATGGAGGATTTGAAACGCCTCGGCCGCTGCCTGAAGTACCCCGCTGGAAGGTTGCTATTTCCCGCTCAGAGGCTGTCCAGAAAGGTTTGCGTTTACTGCGACAGCGACTACGCGGGTGATCCGATTACGGGGCGTTCCCGAAGTGGAATGGCCACTCTATGGGGGACGCATCTGCTGAAACATGGCAGTGCGGTCCAATCCACGGTGAGTCTGAGCAGCGGCGAGGCCGAGTACTATGCACTAGTGCGTGGAGCCTGCCACGGTTTTGGAGTACAGGCCACCTTGGCCGACCTTGGAGTCGAGGTTGACTACGAGATGGAGCTTTACATCTTCAGCGATAGTTCAGCCGCGAGAGGAATTGCAAGCCGACAGGGATTGGGAGCTGTTCGACACTTGGATGTTCAATTTCTGTGGCTGCAGGAACGTATTCAAAGTAAGGGGCATGAAGACGGTCGATGGACACTGGAACCTGGCGGACCTGTTCACGAAGCCCTCGACCAAGACATGATGGAACTGTTGATGAAGCTGATCTGCTTCGCGATGAAGTTCGACGGTAGCGTGAGGCGCCGCGTGCTGTGATGTATGACGCCGGCTGTTTGCCGGCGCGCGTCTCGTGAAAATGATCGAGGCGCTGGTTTCGTTTTGGGCTTTCGCCCTCCGCCTCCGCCCAGCCGCGGCGACGAAGGCCGAGGAGGGGTATTCGGATGTCTAGGGCCAGCGCCGTGTTTCGGATATTCCCTGAAACTTAAGTGAGTTTCGGGCTTGATCTAGAAGTGGAGTTCAGGAAAAGAAAAAACCAGAGGTGATCCAGAGCTCCGTCTGTAGTCCATCGTGGTTCAAAAGATAGAGGGAATGTGTCTGTGTATTTATATATGTACATGTGCATGTATATGTTTATGTGTATGTACACGCACGTTAATATACAACACGGAGAATGAGACATGAAGAGATAACAACACATTTTAATCAACAGAGAGAGAGAGAGAGAGAGAGAGAGAGAGAGAGTCAGGAGGGGGAGGTGTGGATGAAGAGCGAACGAGGAGTGAACGAGGGGGAGGGAAGGCTCGGATTGAGGAGGACGTGGAGGAGGACGCCTCTGGAGGCGTTCTTGGAGCAGGGGGGCGAGCTGGTGTGCGGCGCCATCGTCTCAGTGCGCAGCCGCGCCAGCAAGATTGCGTTGTGGCTGTCGGCCGCCAAGGAGACGCCCGAACCTCCTCCTCCTTCATATTTTTTGGCTTCCTTGTGTGTGTGCGTGTGTGTGTGTGTGTGTGTGTGTGTGTGTGTCAGTGCGTCTTTCGCCCCAGTCTGCTGGGTCCGTTTCCCCAGCGCCCCCGGCCCCTCGCCTTGAGGTGGTCTGCTCCGGCTGTCCGTTCTCGGTTGCCTGGAGGGCGTTCGGATCTCGGCACCTTGGTCCTCTCGCTGCGCTGCTTCCGCCTCAAACTCGCGCTGGACCTGCTGCCCCCCTCTTGGGCGCGTGCCTGGCGACCTTTTGGCTGCCTACCCCCCCAGCTGCTGCTCCGCTGCCGCCGCTGGCCCCCGGCCCCGGCGCCCGCCCCGCCACCGCATGGCCCCGCTCTGAACGGGCCCGGTTTCCGTTTCCTCCCTGCCTGCGCCGGCGGGCTCTTTCCCCCCCCCCCCCCCCGCGCACCGCGGCTTAACTCGCATTTTGTGTGTCCTAGTAATGCTACATCGCCAGCTCAGTCACTCTGCCGAGCTGCCGGCGCAAAAAGCGCGTGTGTGTGTGTGTGTGTGTGTGTGTGTGTGTGTGTGTGTGTGTGTGTGTGTGTGTGTGTGCGGTGCCTCCTGGAATGCTTTTGTCGTCGCGACTGGATTCGCCTCGGGATCCTTCCTGAAATCCGACGGCACGAAAAGATTGCAGCATCTTTGAGAATGGCGACCAGGGCCTTACACCCCATCTTTTCGCTACATTTTGCGAGCAGGATCGATTTGCAGGGGTTCCGGGGCCCGAAACAGGGAGAAATCGTTAAATGCGAAACAAATTGCGACGTCAAGGTCCCAGGGCTTGTCAGAACGCGACCTTGGGCAGGTCTCGGGGCTGCTGGACTGCTCCTCCACAGACGCCCGGGCGCCGCGGCGCGAGAGATCCACCGCGTGGGGCAGCTCTTTGCGACTTCGGCGCCCTGCAGTTTTTGCGGGCCACCGCAACTTCAGGCAGCAATCGGCGACGAAAACCAGGTCCTGGCGGATGGGGTCGAGGGCCCCTGATCGAGGAAGCTCAAGTATGGATCACGGCGCGTGGATTAGCGACGGGCGCCCCCCGTCCGTACAGAACCGGTACGTTCCGTCGCCGAGTCAGGCAGCGGTGGCCTCATGTTTCGGGGGTACCTTCCCCGATCCGTGGCTTTGGCGCCCACGCTCCAGATCCGATCCACGGATCCGTAATCCATCTTGGCGTGCGCCCAACTTGAGGCCAGCAGATGCACGTAAGGGGGAGTGGGCCTGTGTCCCTTCTGCCCGTGCCGTAAATGTCGAATTCGCGGCCCCAGACTGACACTGGGACCCTGATCACAGTGTCGCCCCCCCGCCAGGCCAAGATCGCCCCCAGGCGGCCCAGCCTGCCCGGAAGGCGGCCCGAGTGGACCCAAACACGCCCCACAAAGCTCCAGAGCTGCCTTGGAGGCTCCCGAGACGCTCTGGAAATGTTCGAGGAGAGCTCCTGGGAAGCTGTTGAGGGGTCCAACTCATTGACTTCCCGGCAATGATTTTAGCATTGGCGCCTTCTCGGCCTTACGAGCGTCCACCGCGTCTCAGATGCCCCTAAGATCGGTTCAAGATGGCCCCGAATGGTCCTGCAATCCCTAGCTGAGCCTGCGGACTCATCCTCGATGCCCGACCGCGTAGTTCAAGTCGGCGCATCGCAAAAAAGAGGAGGAGGACGACGACGTGGCTGAGGCTGATGCTGAGGAGGAAGAGGAGGAGGAGGAGGAGGAGCAGGAGGCGGAGGAGGAGCAGACTGAGGAGGAGTCTGAGGAGGAGAGGGAGGAGGAGGGGGAGGAGGAGGAGGAGGAGGAGGAGGAGGAGGAGGAGAAGGAGGAGGAGGAGGAGCAGGAGCAGGAGCAGGATGACGATGACGATGATGATGATGATGATGATGATGATGATGATGATGATGATGATGATGATGATGAGATGATGTGATGAGGATGATGGATGAGGTGATGATGATGATGATGATGATGATGCCGATGATGATGCAGATGATGATGCTGATGACGATGATGATGTGATGATGATGATGCTGATGATGATGATGATGATGATGATGATGATGATGATGATGAATGATGCTGATGATGATGATGCTAATGATGCTGCTGCTGATAATAATGATGATGATGATGATGAGGATGATGATGATGATGATGATGATGATGATGATGATGATGATGATGCTGATGCTGATGCTGAAGCTGGTGATGATGATGATGATGATGATGAGTCTGATGATGATGATGATGATGATGATGATGATGATGATGATGAGCTGATGCTGATGCTGCTGCTGCTGATGATGATGATGCTGATGATGATGCTGATGATGATGATGATGATGATGATGATGATGATGATGATGATGATGATGATGATGATGATGATGATGATGATGATGATGATGATGATGATGATGATGATGATGATGATGATGATGATGATGATGATGTTGCTGATGATGGTGGTGATGATGAGGAGAAGGTGGAGGATGAGGAGGAGGAGTATGAGGAGGATAATAATAACACTAAGAATAATAATAAGAAGCCTAATAAGAACACATAATCAGAGTACTAATAATATCAGTAAGAAGAATAAACATAATACGACTACTCAGAATACTAATATTAATAGCAAGAATAATAATAATACTAATAAGACTAATAATACTAATGATAATAATCAGAATAACACAACTATGAAGAATAATACTAATAGTAGTACTAATAATGATAAGAGGAATAAGAGTAATAATATTAATGATAATAAGACGAAGAATAATGATAATACTAATAATAATGATAATCAGAATAATAATATAATAAGAAAACTAATAATACGACTAAGAACAATAAGACGAATAAGAAGACGAATACGCATAATAACAATAATAACAACATTATTACGAATAATAGCACTAATACTACTACTAATAATAATGTCACTACTACTACTACTAATAATAATCTTAATAGTAATAATAAGAATACTAATAATAATAATAGTATTAGTAATAATAATAATAATACTAATAATAATACGAATAATAATACCAATAGTAATAATGATAATGATAAGAATAATAAACAGAAGAAAATAATATTAATACTAATAGTAGCACGAATCATATTAATGATACTAATAATAATAAGAAGAAGAGGGAGGAGGAGTGGCAGGAGGAGGAAGAGAAGGATGAGACTGAGGAGGAGGAGGAGGAGGAGGAGGAGGAGGAGGAGGGGGGAGGAGGAGGGAGAGGAGGAGGAGGAGGAGGAGGAGGAGGAGGAGAGAGGAGGAGGAGGAGGAGGAGGAGGAGGGGGATGATGAGGCGGAGAGGTGGAGACGTAGGAGGAGGATGAGGAGGAGGAGGATGAGGAGGAGGAGCATGAGGAGGAGGAGGATGAGGAGGAGGAGCATGAGGAGGAGGAGGAGGAGGAAGAGGAGGAGGAGGAGGAGGAGGAGGAGGAGAGGGAGAAGGGGGAGGCGCACGAGGAGGAGGACGACGAGGAGGAGGGCGAGGAAAGAGGACCAGTGTAAACCCAAGACTCATTAACGATGCTGTAATACACCTTCCCTCCAAGCGCCCTCTTCGTAGGCACCAGCAAGGGTTCATGTCGCTGAGGGACATCGTTCAGTGACAACCGTGAGAAAATCCAGAAGCGTGCCAACTTGCCATTCTCAGGACGTCAACGCCATGAATCAACATGACTTTTGCGCCTCGACGACCCTAAATCGTGCCAGAGCACCATGTCTGGGGCTTCAACACCGCGAATCAAAATAATTAGTGCGCCCTGGCAATCTTGAGTCGTTCCAGAACGCCGTCTCTGGTACGTTAGGAGGGAGAATCAGTGAAACTCTTGTAGACTTTTAACGCGACTGTGTGTGGCGCTAAGGCGAGAGCCCCATTTCGAAAAGGAGCCGCCCCCAATCATTGAAACTCGTAGCATTTTATGCAAGCGGATATACGTGGATCTCAGGCGAGAGCGAAATTTTGAAAAGGAGCCGCCCTCAATCCCTGAAGCTCTGGCAGAGTTTTTGAAACGATTGTGCGCGGCGCTCAGGCGAGAGCCTCATTATGGAAGCGATCGCTCTCCATCTCTGAAACCGTTGCCAGTTTGTAAGCCTCAGGTATGTAAATGGCCAGGAAGTCTCAGACGAAGCCCGCCCTTCCGACTGGCCTCGGGGTGCGACAGGGAGGAACCATTCACAAGGAGATGGAATGGAGGAGGAGGAGGGGAAGGAAGAGGACGAGGCGGCGGAGGAGGAGAGACGCTTGGCAGTGTTGCCCTCGGGCCGCGGCTCGGGCGCCTTTGCCGCCGTGCCGCCCTGCTGGGCGCCAGGACGAGAAGAAGGTGATGGCCATCGGCAAGGAGTATCGGAACATCCTGGCGCCCCAGGGGAGGGTCGGCGGCGAGCCCGGGGGGAAGCGAGAAGGGGCGGGCTTTCTCAGCAGGCTCTGAAGGCCCACGGCCTTCTGAGAAGCTTCCCGAGCCCGCCCCGAAGACGCTGAAGACATCTCAGAAGGCGCGAGGGCTTCTGAGAAGTCCGTCCGTCCGCCTTCTGAGAAGGCCTTCTCCATCTCACTTCCCTCCCCCGCGCTCGCCGCCGAGAAAGGGGGTGGCGGCAAGCTGTCTTCGACGTAAACGTTCGGCGCTCCGCTCGGATTTCTTGGATCCGCGCTCAGAGGAGGAAAGGGTATTCATACTGTTATTCCTCCCTTGTTTTCTGCTTTCTTGGGGTTCTGGGGACCCCCCGTCGCCACCGCTGGATTCGCCTCGAAATTCCGGTCAGAATGAGCCCAGGGAGAGGTCTGGGGAGTGGCGGTATCAGTTTTTTTCGGTATCCCCAGTGCGTGTGCGTGTGTGTGTGTGTGTGTGTGTGTGTGTGTGTGTGTGTGTGTGTGTATGTGTGATCCTTGTCCCTGGCTTCTGAGTGGGTTGGCCCCGGCGCGTTTCCCGTTTTGTAGCTCTCCTGCTAGGCCTCGACGCTGCGCGCGAGGCCGCGGCGAGTGTGTATGTGCGTGCGTGAGAAGGAGCATTATAACTAAGGTCGTGTTTGCCCGCGGGCGCTGGATGGGGTTCCCGTCGCTGTCCTTGAGCAGGCTGGATGGGCCTTCGAGCGGCCGGTCCTGCTGCCCGGTAAGGGCAGCGAGGTGCTGGTACGATGGCGCGCCCTGGTGGCGCGTGCGCTCGCATGCGTTCGTGCTCCAGGCGGCCTGGGGAAGCCTGGCTGTGCCCTTGGGGGGTTGGTCGACGCGCCAATTCCAGCGAGATTCGCTGCGCCCTCTGGAGGGCGGGGGGCGGAGACGATCCTCGTCTATCGCTCTGCCTGGGTCCGTACTGGGCTGAAGCCCTGCCAGGTGCAGTAGGCCTGCCCAGGCCGCTGTGTAAAGGTTGGTGGCGTCGATGCCCAGCTCGTTGTCGTACAAATACCCATCGTGGCAGACCAGCTTATGGCGCCGTTCGTAGAGACGTGTGGGCGAGTTCCTGGGCCGTACATGTGAGGGTGTAGGCGGAAGACATAACACAGCACGGGGGCCAGAGCTGGGTCGTTCAGCACTATTGTGCCTGCGTCCAGCAGTTCCTCGCTCATCGTTTCCCAGCAGTGCCCTGGGGGAAGCGGGGAGTCGTAGAGGGTCTGGAAGCAGAGTGCCCGTTGGTCGGTGGCATTTTTTATCGTCGCTGCGTCGTTCCTGCTCGGCTGCGAGCCGCGCTTGTTCTCATCGTGGGAGGGTGCCGGGGTATGCGCGCCGATGGGGGCCTCCCGTACCTTTGCTGGTCAGAAATTGGAGGTCTCACTGAGCGTGTCTCGCTTGCCCGGGGTACTGTCGAAACTAGTCCAGAGGCCAGCTGTTTCTGCCCATTCCGCGAAGGTGTGCATGTGAGATTCTGTCGCTGCAGCCGCCATCTTGGCATTTAGCATGACAATGACTCCGTCCTGCGCCCGAGTAAAAGCGACGTTGATGCGGTGAGGGTCGTCCACGAAGCCCCATTGTCCGGTGGAGTTCGCGCGGGTGGTGCAGAGGATAATCAGGTTGGCCTCATCTCCTTGGCTCCCGTCGATGGTGCGCACTCAGACGAGGCCTCTGTCGACCAAGCGGGGGCAGGTCGCTTCGATGCCAGGGAAAGACAGCTCGAGGCCGTTGAGTTCGGTGGGGGGGGTGACGCTTGAAAATAGCCCTGGCCACACCGGGGACATCCTCGAAGTCACCCTGGGCATCTGCCTCCCCTACAAGCACGCGCGCCTTCCCGTGTGGGCGGGCGGGCCCACAACCTTGTGGATACAGACTTCCGCAGGCTACACGGGCGTTTAAAGGCCTTCATCAAAGCATTCTCCAGGCTAGCCATTGTGGCTCACCGCCATCCTGATATCGATGGAGAGCAGTCCACGGTGACCTGGAATGAAGCCTCCGTCGGGGCCTTTCCCCTGAAGCACACCCTCCAAGCCCTTGACTGGCTTGCCTGTTTGCAGCCCCCCCAATGCGGGCAAGGCCCCTTCAATCCCCAGAAGGAAACTCGAGGCGCGTGGGTGGGCCCCGCGATCAGGAAAACGGTCGCCGCAAGCTGGCTTCAATTCCACCTACCGACTGGGGATGGACTGCCGGTGGCATTGCCGCGTTTGTTGGAAGAGCAATCTTTCGGCCAAAAGTGTGCCGGCGCCTACAGATTGCAGGATGGCACCACATTTGGAAGCCCTTGACGCCAAGCCCACAGTCCTGCGCAGGCCCCCTGCCCGGCCGCACCAACGTTGTCCTCGCCGACGCGAACGCCCCCCGTGTGGATCTGCTCCTGGCTCCTCAGGGCCCGCGCGATCCCGCCCGCGCCCGCGCCGCTATCCCCTCCCTCCGCACCATCGACGACAGGCTTGGCAAGCACTTTCGCTGCGGCC